TCCGCCAACTCTCTTGCCTCACAGCTGTAATAGATGTAGTGCCTCTACGGCTCTAATGGACTACGTGACTCCTGGTTATGATAATAATAATAATAATAATAATAATGTTTGTTATTTCTACGTAAAAACCATGGCGGATTAGACGTACTGACCGCTTATGTGCTATTATCTAAATTCTGAAACAATTGTTTTCTCTTAACACCATTGTTTCAAAGGACGAAATCTCAAATTATTGCGCTTAGCTGTATCACTGAATCTGCACTCGCAAGGCACACGCTGATGATGGCGACAAAATTTCAATTCGTTCCGAGGTCTTATGTACTTATTACGCCATTAGCTGTCATAAGCGTTCGTAACGATCGACCTGACAATGTCCAGTCTGATTACTTTCTTCTGTAAATAAGTGGACAATATTCACTGTGCCCGGTAAGTAGTGACTATCACTTCAGAGCGCCTCTTTTGATTTGGTCCAAACTGATGTTCATCTGTTTCCATAGTAACTCTACCTACTGGCCTTTTATTAAGTTCGTAAATGCATACACGAACTGCGCATGCTCATACGCTTGCGTAACATAATCTATACACGCTGTCTGAAAATGTAAGTAGAATTCATAAGTTACTTACTCTGCGTTCAGTTTTGTTTATATTTAAAATCTTCCTCGTTAACGGAGAATTTCAATAATGAGAATTGCTTTCAGGGTCCCATTGCTACTGGAAACAATATGTTTACTTACCGGTTAAACCTACAAGAGGCGGGAACCCGTGTTGTTCTTAAATATTACTACTGCCCGGATGGGACGTGCGGGTTTCGTAACCACATCGGAAAAGAAAGTAGAATAATTACGAAGAGCTTTAAATTCTCACCTCATAAATCCCCTTGGGAAAGGTAGGTATTAACCTCTTCCTTCCCCAACATGATAAACTGGCCTCTCTAGCCATAGATGGCAACCAGTCTAGGAGAATAAAACACTAAACAAATGAACGGAATCTGTGAAGAAACAATTATTGCATGGACCCTGAAGAGTCATGGATACAAAAAATTGCCTGAATCATGAGGCAGTTATGAAATAGTGATTTCCTCATGTTCTCGCTCATTTACAAATTTCTCAGTCAAATATTGTGACATATTAGAGACAAGACATTTTAATCCAACAGCTTTTTCTCTCACTTCCCGCTTGTGGAACCCCCTCCCGTTGCTTTGCTTCCCTGATAACTACAATCTTCAAAAATTTAAATGCCACATCAATCGCCATCTTCTATCTTCTTGAACCCTGTTCAGCTTTTATCCTTTCGTCGGCCCAACCTATACCCAGTTTTTTCTCCGACCTTCACTCTATGTAACACACAGCGTGCTACTGGCATTCCAACCTTGCTTGGAGTGAAATAATTAAAAAAAAAAGAATTGAACTAGAGTTTCTTCTCTTTTCTGTCAAGACATGAATTAGCATCCAACTACAAAATTTATATGAGGGCCTGCTAAAATATTCTTAGCTCAATCCTAGTCTCAGCCCAATCCTAGTCTACTCTATGTGCCGGTATGAATGACAAATAACTTCATGATTTTCCCGAAGTAACCCGGAATTTGAACTCGACTCGCCAATTCCACTTTCTGCGCCGATAGCCGTTACAGCTACCCGCACATCCATTGTAAGTCAATTATCTCGAGTTTTATTTTTAAGCTATTCAGAAAATTGTGTACAGTATTTGTTCTCTCCGGTTTTCGATGAGAGATTTTAAATTTAAATTCTTATGAAATGTCTATAATTAATTCCCTATTATAAAATACGATTATCAAAATGTTTTCGCCTGAATTTCATTGGCCTACCGATTCCCATCTCCATATCCTTGCAATGGCTGAGATATCCTTCATTGAAACCATCGATTTTCAGTAAAAAAAAAAAAAAAAGTGGGGACTTCAAGGAATACATTTTTTATCAATAATGAATTCTTTGGGGTTAGTCCAAACGACCTGATGTAATCATCTTAAGTAATAATAAAAAGCATTTAGTCCTCGTCAGACGACCATATATAAATACCGTAAGTAATAATAAAATCTTTAGTACAGAGCCGACGGCCAGATGGACACCTCATAAGAAGTAGACATGGTAAGTAATAATAAGGTCTTTCCTCCAGCGCCGATGATCAGATATAGATATCGTAAGTAATAATAAGGTCTTTCCTCCAGAGCCGATGATCAGATATAGAGATCGTAAGTAATAATAAGGTCTTTCCTCCAGAGCCGATGATCAGATATAGATATCGTAAGTAATAATAAGGTCTTTCTTTCAGAGCAATAATCGTAAGCAATAATGTGTTTCCTCCAGAGCCGATGATCAGATATAGATATCGTAAGCAATAATAAAATCTTTATTACAGAGCCGACGGCCAGATGAACACCTCATAAGAAGTAGACATGGTAAGTAATAATAAAGTCTTTCCTCCAGAGCCGATGATCAGATATAGATATCGTAAGTAATAATAAAATCTTTATTACAGAGCCGACGGCCAGATGGACACCTCATAAGAAGTAGACATGGTAAGTAATAATAAAGTCTTTCCTCCAGAGCCGATGATCAGATATAGATATCGTAAGTAATAATAAAGTCTTTCCTCCAGAGCCGATGATCAGATACAGATATCGTAAGTAATAATAAGGTCTTTCCTCCAGAGCCGATGATCAGATACAGATATCGTAATAATAAGGTCTTTCCTCCAGAGCCGATGATCAGATACAGATATCGTAATAATAAGGTCTTTCCTCCAGAGCCGATGATCAGATATAGATATCGTAAGTAATAATAAGGTCTTTCCTCCAGAGCCGATGATCAGATATAGATGTCGCAAATAATAATAAAGTCTTTCTTCCAGACCTGATGATCAGATATAGACAACGGAAGCAATGATAAATTCTTAAGACAAGAGCCGACAACCAGATGTCGACATCGTTAGCAATAATAAATTCTTTTGTCCAGAGCCGACGACCAGATTTAGACTTCGTAAGCTATAAATTCTGTAGTCCAGAGCCGACGACCAGATGTAGACATGGTAAGATGCAGACATGTTAAGATATAGACATAGCAAGCTATAATAAATTCATTAGTCCGCAGCTGATGACCAGATGTAGATGTCATGTGCAATAATGAATTCTTTGGTCCAGGGCGCGACTCGATGTAGACATCGGTAGTAATAATATTTTTTTTTAAATCCAGATCCTACAACCAGATGTAGACATCGTAAACAATAATAATTTTTTTAGTCAAGAACCAACAGCCATATATAGAAATCGCAATCTATAATAAATTCTTTAGTCCAAAGACACGTGCATATAAGACGCTGGAAGCGAAAATCGCACCGCAGCTCATGACGTCACACATGACCACGCGAGAGTGAATTCGAGAAGTATTAAGTATGGGAAGCCGTTGGTATAAACCAATGGCTTCTGTTACTAATTATAGACATTTAAGAATATTCAATATGTATCAATATTGTGATTTTCTTTCTTCGTTTAATGATAATGTTATTAAGATTATCAGACGTTATGAAAAGAATTTACATAAAATAAATAGACAACACTTGTCTATATTATTTAATGAAACATGTATGAATGAAAAAATGCTGCCTAAATACACACAATATATATATATGTGTGTGTGTGTGTGTGTGTGTGTGTGTGTGTGTGTGTGTGTGTGTGTGTGTGTGTGTGTGTACCATATACCGCAATTAACGCACCGCTCTTCATTAAGGAATCGATCATTGTTGGCTACTGGCCTTTGTTTACATCTGTATACAATACGTTAGAATTTCCCTTTCTCTCTGCCGTGCGCCGATAGCTTAGGGGTAGGATCTCTGACTAATGCCAAATCGGATGTCTATCCGCATTAATGAGCTGTGATACAGCGAAACGAACTTGTATATGAATGACTATATATATATATATATATATATATATATATATATATATGTATGTATGTATTTGACACATATCATTAAATGATGACATAAGGATGTATTTTGACCCATTTTCAATATACGTTGACTTTGTAAGAGTAGGTATAATCAAATTAACTATTGTTTATTATAACTTTTTCTGCAGAAGTTCGGCGATCATGGTTCTCCAGAACTGTCTATCTCGTGCTTTCTCCCACTGCCTGTAGAAACAATTTAAATTTTCGTAAATAACAGGGCGGACTGAGCTGCGTAGACTTGTTGGGAACACTTTAAATTCAAAAATCCGTAAATAACTTGGTAGACTGAGATGCTTAGCATTGGTAGGAACGCTCTAATTTCAAACCGGCGTAAGAAAAATAGGCAAACAGCTGCTCGGCCTTAGTACCAACACTCCAAATTCAAACCCCTGTAAATTTTTGCTGTAAATAACAAAGCAGACGGAGTTGCTTAGCCTTGGTAGCAAGACTCTGAATTATAAACCCTATAAACAAAAAGGCAAACTGAACTACTTAGCTTTGGTAGGAACACACTACATCCAAACCACCGTATAAAACATAGCAAACTAGGTTGCTTAGCCTTGATAGGAATACTCCAAATTCAAACTTCCGCTAACAACGAGGTGGACTAGGCTGCTTAGCCTTGTTAAGAAGACTTTAAATACAAACATCTGTAAATGCTTAGTCTTGGTAGGAACACGGTGAATTCAAACCTCCGTAAATAACAAGTCAGACTGAGCTACATAGCCTTGATAGTCAACCCACCTGAAGTATCTCGCCCTAGACATATTCACAGCTGCTACAGACGCAGTACATATAGTAAATCAATGACCCTAATGGGTTAAGGGAGTCGTGTTTTAATACTATCATCGAAGCTTACACCACATAATCATTATCATCATCATCATCACTAGAGTTCTTTGAATTAAGTTCTTTGAAGCTTAACCGGATTGATCTTGCTGCCAAGTTCTTTGGTCCGTCCGCGAGAGAAGAGAAACAGAGACAAAAAAGAAGGGAAAAAAGACGTTGAAGAGAAAGAGAGATGTAAAGCAGAAGTCAAAAGAGAAAAGGAGAGAGATATTTAAAAAGGAAAGCCAGAAAATATGCCATCGCATTCACCCCCACCCGTCTGAACAAACGAACATATTCGTTTCCTCGCGCCACCGTATCGCTCTTGTCTGTCCTGGGAATAGCCGACGTTATTTTACGTCTCTCCAAATGAGAGACATCACGAAGTGGTGATTACATTAATGCAATCTAGAACTACTTACTGGGCGCAGTAATGGTAGGAATGGGCGCTATTGACTCATTGATAACAACTATCGTATAACCTTCCGCGGACGAAGATAACCCCGCGAGGACAGTTCGATCTGCACATTTCGGTGGAGATATAATTGGACGGTGTGCAGCACGATGTTCTTGGCCAGAAAAAAAGATGATGTTATTGTCAGATAAAGTCATTTTGTATATATTTACGAGTAGAATAATGTTGTAGGCTATAAAGCATTCGGTCTTCTAAATGATTCGACTTCGGACGGGAAAACGTTTGTGAACGACTTACAGATATTGTGCAGGGGTTATGAGGAAATAAACATGGAATGATGCAGTTTAGGAGTGTGTGTGTTCGTCTCAGACTAGCAGATTAGTCCATACACTCACACACGCATACACGCACACACACACACACACACATAAACACATATATGTGGGTGTGTGCATGCATATATATATATATATGTGTGTGTGTGTGTGTTTGTGTGTATCTATCTCTCTATCTATGTATATGCATACACACACACACACACAAATATATGTATGAGTGTGGGTGTGTGCATGCATGTATACATATCTGTGTGTGTGTTTGTGTGTGTGTGCATAGATAGATAGATAGATAGATAGATAGATAGATAGATAGATAGATAGATAGATAGATGCATGTATTTGCTTTGTATGGTTAAGGTGGGGACAAAAGTGTGTTTCTGTGGGAGGAAAAAAAAAGATGAAATTTACATTCACAAAGGAAATGGGATTTTTCACCAGAAGTGCTTCCATACCAAACAGGCAAAATGAACGCGCGAAAAAGGAAAGCACGCTTCTGTCGGCAGGAATAAAAGGACAGTGTCTTTTAATACTTTCTAAGTTTAAACCTGCCTGGTATAAGGCTACGGTTATAGAGCAACCATAAGGAATAAGGCTTTATATATATATATATATATATATATATATATATATATATATATATATATATATATATATATATATATATATAGTTGTTAATGTTTGAATCTTTCAATTAGCGTTTGCTCTAAATGAAATTTTGGCTTTTCGATTAAAACTTAAAATAAATAATACATACGTAGATTTCCCTGTTCCTTCTTTAAATAATTTTGTAATATTTTAAACTTAAATTTAAAATTTTAAAATTGGTAATTATTATTTTTAATTTTGAAGTAAAATTTGAAATTAATCAGTTAGAATGATTTCTATTTTAGCGTAACATTAACATTAAGACATCAATAATTATAACCAAAGTTCGTTGTCAACTTTTTTGAATTTTCATATACTTGTATTTTAATTGGTCATTGTAGCTTATGTAACAGCGTTTGATTTCAACCTTTTAAAACTCTTCTACATTCAACATCATCACTTGAGAAGACACCAGAAGTGTTGAAACAAAATGCTTATACCATGTTTATATTTTAATTTTTGAATATATATATATGTGTGTGTGTGTGTGTGTGTGTGTGTGTGTGTGTTTGTGTGTTTGTGTTTCGTTAAAGATGTCTGACAAGGTACTGCGATTAAGCCTTTTATTTAAGTTTTCTTGTGTTCGAACAAGTGTTTTCTTTTCTGGACACAAAATGTGTAAAAACTGCCCAAACGTTTTGCATTTCCGAGCGCTTTCGTCTATACTTTTAATGATTATCAAGGATGATTTTATTTTTACTTTTTAACTGAATGTATGGGTTATGTGTATGTATCTACAGTTATTTTACAAACACGGTCAGCATACTGGTGCCATGTTCGTAGTTAATGTTATTGAGTGTTGGTTTTTTCTTTTTATTATTAGGGATTCCATTATTTTTCATCTTTTTTTACATGGTGATGAGGTTATTATGCCTGTATTTTCTACTAATATATTTCGGATGTAGTCTGGTATGTTTGTGTGTATGTTTTAAAGGGTCATAATATGGTGTTGTCGGATAGGTGTAACGTAAGTCGTCTGGATAGGTATGTAGTAGTGTGACCGATGTAATTATTTATGAATTTGGTTTGATCAGGGACACGGTCCTTTAAAGGGCATTTGAACTCCTAATTATTTAACTATTACAAAAGATTTCAAATAGCTAAACTTATCCTGAAAAATAACAACGCGTATGTAAGTGCTAAAAAGTGCGTCAAACTGGTAAATGGGGCGAAATTGAACAGGGTAAAACATGTTACTGTAAGTCCTGTAAGTACTTCAAAAGTCTGTAAAACTGACAAATGAAATATGTTACTACAAGTCGTCTTTTATGTATGGATGTATGTAAGTGCTAAAAATGGGTAGAACTGGCAAAGAGAATGAAAATGGACAGCAAGTTGTATATATTATTATGTGATTTTACGTTAATGTGTATAAGTGAATGTCTATGATTGTCCGCATCGGTTACTGTTAGTAACTGTAAGACAAACTGAATGGTTCCAATTGTGTGTATGGCTTTATGTGAGTGACTATGAATATATGATTGTGTGTAAATGGCTGTGTGTTATGTAAATCTCTGAGTTCACTAGAGTACCTGATTCTATGGAGCTGGTGATTTTGTTAAAATCTGCGAGCGTATATACGTGGGATCAGAAATCAAGTTTCTATGGGTGTCTGTACACAAGATATTTTCGTGTTTGATAGATACGAAAATAGTCTGTTCATTTCTAGAAGAAGAAGAAGGAGGAGGAGGGAGGGAAAGGAAGAGGAAAAGAGGAGGAGGAGGAGCGGTGTGTTTATGTCTGGTGATGTACCGAAAGGCAGGGAAGAAAAATATGTGTGTCTGGTGTAAGTAGCAGACAGCCAGAAAAAGAGAACTGGTGATATATAGAAAAAGAAAAGGAAGTAGAAATACTTTTGGGTGGGGGAGAGAAAAAGAGGCCTGTGTATGGTGATATATTATAATGAGAAACAATGACATTGCAAGTATGTCCAGGCCACTAGAAAGAAAACAAATGATGTGATATGGATAAGATATGAGAAAGTGGCCTCCGGCGCGATCTTCTACGGCTGTAGCCCGTCTGCCTCAAGGACGATATGCTCTTCTGTACATTGTTGTTATAATGAGGGGTATATTCAAGCCAATATTTCCTTTCAATAAAGCTTGATCTAGTCAGGCCATTCTCCGATCTCTTTTAACAACAAAAAGTTTCCATCCACAGAAATTGCACACATTGGTGATTTTTCTTTTTCTAACCATTCACAAACATAGATAGATAGATAGATAGATAGATAGATAGATAGATAGATAGATCAGTAGAAAAAAAGAAATAAACACTGAATTCTTATATTATCGATTAAGGCACGATTGATTCGCCATACGGTCTTGATTTCTATGACGAGACAGTTGTGTGTATATATATATATATATATATATATATATATATATATATATATATATATATATATATATAGGCAAAAATATTTTCATTCAAGTATGTTTGGTTGAATAATCTAGACACAGTGTCATTGGTAGTTGCGGATTTTTTGTAAATGCGCATGCTCGCCCTCCGTTATAGTCAATTTACAATAAGGATTTAAGGGAGGTATCTTAGTTTAATTTTTTCTTATTAATGTTTTAAAAATACTCACCCAGTAATTTTTTCAAAAAAATTAACATTTTTTTTTACAATTTGCGCATATCAAAACATTTTTATAGACATTTTAAAATATTATTGCTATACTCATAATTAATTTTATTTAGTGTTAGTTCCATTTTTTTATATTTATCGCTTCGAGAATTTGAAGTTTTTATTTTCATGGTGGAGTATACTCGTATTTTAGATTAATATTTCTCTAAACCATGAATGTGGACAAGAGTGTTATTTTAAATGTTGTGCAATAGAACTTGAATCTAACATGTGTAAAGTAAGCTTTCTTGATAGCGTCGTCGTGAAACCAACATATATATTTACGTTATTTATCAGAGATACAATCTCCTAAAGGTTCGTTTATGCACATTTATAAAAAAAAGAATCCACATCTACCAATGACACTAATTTTTGTGTTAGCAATTCACTCATAAAGATGATCTTGGATAAGATTGAAAGTACTTTGCAAAATAAAAGAAATAACAAAAACTACGGAGTCTTAATCAATTTTGTAAAAGCATAGGGAAATGAATTTGAGAGGATTAAAATTAAAATAAATAGACTTAATATGTCAAGATTATTCAAGCAAACATGCTTGAATATATATATATATATATATAAGTTGTTACATACGGACAAACAAGATGAATATTTACTACGATGTTAAACACACACACACACACACACACACACACACATATATATATATATATATATATATATATATATATTCACTCATAACTAAAAAATATACGTGTAAAAAGACAGTATGAATAAAGACTAAAGAATAAAGTAAAACTTATCTTAGCCGACGCGTTTCGTCCTCTGATGGACTTTATTAAGGCAAATGCAAGTATTTCATTTCGCAACAAGTATTTGTAAACAAGAGTAAAAAAAAAAAGGTTATTTTTTTCAAAATGTTTAAATTTAAGAAACGCTCGTCAATATTCCTCAGGCTAATTGAAAAATCTAGGGAAACCATGGCGCATGCTATGTGATTTAATTCAATGTCTAATAAAAAAAATGTGGCTAAATGATGTTTTTGTCTTCTTTAATGTAATTTATATTCATATTATTTTCGTAGATTTTTATTTTTCAGTTTTTAATATTATTTTTATTTTTAAACAACAGAGGAAAACGGTGCATAACCTATCTAAAGAACTTGCAAAAATAAATGACAGAATATGGTTTACGATCGATAGTGAAAGTTACTAAAAGCTGCAGAGAACAGGGAATTGTGGCGAATTCTGATCGCCAATGTCCTGAAGAGACATGGTACATAAAAGAAGATATTTATTGGTGTAGGGTGCTCACTATCAGAGATATATCATTTATAGATATAAATATTTCAATGAAATGTTTAGGCCCAATCTTTTTAGTTTGAAGGCTTCATTCAAGCATGAAAGTGACAGTCACTATACATTGATAATTCCTATGTCCACACTATTAGATATATAAGTACATTTTTCAAATATCAATTGGTACGAAACTAATAAGATGTACTAAATGTATTTTATAGTGTTTCATTTTTGTTGTTTTTGATTATTTTTCGTCAAATATTTACCCAGTATAAGACTTAAGAGCTAATCAAGGTAGAGGGTTACTAAATGAGGTTGTTTTATATATGTAAGTATTGATTATATGAGGATACCTAGAATATAACGGTTGACCCTAGACTTGAAGTAGTTAAGATTATAGTGTTCAGCGAACATCCACGCGGGAGTCTGCTCTACAAAGTAGTGGTTCTCGAGAAGAACCTTTCTGGGTGAAACTTTCTTTTTGACAATGGAATACGAAGGGAATAAGGATGATTTGAATCTTCAAACATAGCAAAGTAGATCTTAGCTGTGAATGTCTCAAATGGTGACACTAAGAAATATTGTTCTTTTGAAAATTTCCTATGGAAATAACGACAGTGTAGCGACAGGCTTGCAACGTTTCAGTTGTGGGGAAAGAGGCTGCAAGGTTGAAAATAATTTATCGCTCACGAGAGTAAATTATTTTAAATTCTGTCAAGCCTGAATTGAGAGAATTATGCTGCACCAACCCAAATATCGCAGCAATACTCCAATTTTGGTAAATGAAGTATTGATGTCGTATCTGGACTGGAATTGTCCATTCCTCACTTGCCTGCGTTGATAGGCATCTATATTGACATATTCTCTACCCTACAACCCTTTTTCCTCACAAACGAAATATCGTGAGCCTCTCGCTGCTCTATCGTTATTTTCACAATATGTGTTCTAATAAGCTACGTTCCATTGTACCTCTAATTCTGGCCTTTGCAACTAGGACCAGCCATTCCACATACACAAGGATGGACCATCTCCATTTCCTTCATATTCCATTAGTAAGGAGTAATTTCCACTCAGAGAGCTTCTTCTTAAGAACTGCTGTTTTGTGGAATAGACTCCCAGCAGGATGTTTTCCCATTCAAGACAGCGTAAATGATTTTAATTTCTGACAAGCTTGGAATGTTTGGATTATACTGCTCCAGACGAGATATCGCAGAAATACTCCATTTTTGGTAGATATTTCTAACATAGGTCTTCCTATCTACAGTTTGCTTTAATAAGTTCGTCATTCAATATATATGTTGTGAAACTGAAAATCTGGGAAACATGAATTTTAGTGGTCAAGATTTTTTTTCCTTTTTAATGCAAACGTTACTGAAAGAATTGTGCTTTTTGTGTATAATGTTGCGCCCAAGTATTAGACATCAATTAATTTTTTATTTAACAGCTTTTACAGAAAGACCAGAAAATCCGTTTCTCCAGAGGAAACTCGCCATCGCCATAAAAGGGTTTGTTTTGTGGTAATTTTATATAAATGATAGTTCTCAGCAGGCCGATGAACATCTGCTGTTTCAAGAATTCACATTTCAAAAAAGATGATTGACAATTTGGCTTCTTCTACTCTTTCGTAAGTTGGCTATTTTTGTGGTTATTAGGGAATCTATAGAACTTGCAAGGCTGATAAATGACGGCAATTCGTTGTTCATTTGGACAGCTTCACCTTAACGGATAGAAACAAGCGAGAAAAAGAAAACAGGTGATAAGTTTTGAAATAATTGAAACGTGAAAGAAAGAAAGAAAGAAAGAAAGAAAGAAAGAAAGAAAGAAAGAAAGAAAGAAAGACATTTAAAGAGAGAGAGAGAAGATTACGAGAGATAGGAAGAGATGTTGAAAAAGAAAGAAAGAAAGAAAGAAAGAAAGAAAGAAAGAAAGAAAGAAAGAAAAAATTTAACGAGCGAGAGAGGTGGTAAGAAATAGGAAAATGAGGTGATGAAAAAGTTCATAAAAAACGTATAAGGGAAAATATTCCAAGAAAGAAAAAAATGATGATTAAACAAAATTGAAAAAAAAAACTGAAGTAGGGGGAAAGAAGCATTTGCGTTGAGGAAAGAAAGAAAGAAAGAAAATTAACGGGAGAGTCAGTGAGAGAAAAGGCGACGAGAGATAAGAAAAGAGGATGTTAAAGAAGTCCATAGAAAAATAGAAACGTGTAAGTGAAAATATTAAAGAAAGAAAGAAAGAAAGAAAGAAAGAAAGAAAGAAAGAAAGAAAATTAACGGGAGAGTCAGTGAGAGAAAAGGCGACGAGAGATAAGAAAAGAGGATGTTGAAGAAGTCCATAGAAAAATAGAAACGTGTAAGTGAAAATATTAAAGAAAGAAAGAAAGAAAGAAAGAAAGGGATATACATGACGAGATATGGGAAAAAGAATATTGAAATCATCCAAAAGATGGAAAATAGTGAGAAAGGCAAAGAAAGAAAAAAGTCAAAGAATTGGAAAGAAAGAAGATAACGTGAGCCAATGATTATTGATAATTCAGTGTAAGTGAAAATGTCCATCCCGGCCTGTGGGGCCCAATCGGCTGCAATGTCCGACATGGGCAACATTAATGTATAAGCTATTTGATGGAACACAGACCGACATAGATATGCTCGTTTTATTGAAGAGATATTACTGAGCAGTAATCGTCAAATACTCTTTATAGGCACGAACTAACTTGGATAAATCTACACAAGCTACCAAGGCCTGTGTATTTTAACCCCAATTTAAAGTACACTATTTCAACAGTGAACTTATTTGGCTTAGTGGTCACAGTTCTGAATTAAATCCCGAGAGAACTGTTAGAGGCTTATATGAATTTACATAGTCTGGTATAAGGCCATTAATTCAAAATGAACAGGATTAGTTTCAACCAATGGTAATGGTAATATTAGTCGTTTCCTTATAAGGAAACATTTAGCATTAATTGATCAAGCAGCTAATATTGCTGTCGGTTGAAATTTATAAAATCTTTCTCTTAAAACAATTTTCCGTGAAAATAGGTTTCTCAAGTCCAGTAGCTGTTATTGTTCTTTCCAGTATTGATGGGGGTTTCCTTCCTAACCTTTTGTTTGAAGTAGTGTGGAATGTCTGCATTTTGATTATGTCAATGTTTTCTCTTCGAGCTACGTGTACTACGCATTTTAGTTGCTGCTACTGTTGAAAGTTCTCAAATGATGTGGTTTCTGTTATTTGGTACAGTTCTTTCTTTGTAATTCTGTAAGGCCAGTCCACAAGGTTCGAAGAAGTATAGTCGTCGCTAAGAGCTATAGGCTTCTTCGCTGGAAGCCATTTTTAAACCATTGAACTGAGAAAGAGATTTTATGCAGCTGTCAATTTAGATATTATAAGAATAGTAATAATTATACCAGAATAATAGGAGAGGAAAATGTGTTATGGTTAACATATAACTTAGTCTGACACAAGGCAAACAGTTTTATATTATGATCAGCCTACCACATTTTTAAACTTTTATGCCACATCTCAAATCTAAGTGATAAATCCAGCGCAAAATTATCTAGGAACTAGATATATTAGACTTGCTTATCATAAATAGAATGACAACTGGTCACGTGCCCCATTAAAGATTGTATGGACACCACGTGTACTGCAGTACGAATGTGTGCCTATGGTAAGATAATCTGAAGGAGCCAGTCCCTCTTCGATCTGGTTTTGAATTTCACAATAAGTGATATTATGCCGGAATAGACATCACGCTCAAATTTCGCTCTTAGCCTTCAAAGGGTGGTGTAGAGTTGATTTGGAGTTATTCCTTGCCTCCGGGTGCTCTATTGTTCAAAGGGTACTGCAGGGTTGATTTGGAGTTATTCCTTTCCTCCGGATACTAAAGGATATGACCTCACACCTTATACAGTATTGTAAGCGTGAGAGAATGCAGGAGAGATGAATATATAAACAACCGCCTCGGTGATGGTTTGGGCATTCTCTCACACATCTCAGACAGAATGTAAGGTCCATGTATAAAACCCAGAGTAAATGAAATGCTAATTAATGAAAATTTAAGTCACGTCTTATCACTTTATCGAAACTCTCACTTTATTATTCTGAAGAATACAAATTGTAGCAGAATTATAAGTGGGATTCTTGTTGCTCTTGCGTTCTCAGTGATTTATATGAAATATAGTGGTCTTAGACCGAGCCTCTATTGTAGAAATTCTTTAAAATAGTATCTTACCATTCATTTGGTGTACTTTTCGGGTTTACTTATCAGAAGTTCTGAGAATAAGTTGCTACCTTTACTGGATGACTAGAAATGCTAGAAAATAGTCGAGCCAAAAAAACAAAATAAGTGTAGTGAAAATTGCGTTGAAGCATGAAACGGTGTGACACCACTTAGCGTCACTGCCCATTTTTATATTATATTATATATATATATATATTATCAGTTCCCAAGTAGGTATTTATGCAAATGACACAACCATTTACTCCTGCCTCAGTAGAAAATTCAATAGATCCGTCAAAGTAAACCTGACAACTACTCTTGAAAAGACCCCTAATCAGTGGTTAACTGGAGCAAGAAATGGCTTGTAAAACTGCTTTCATTTAATCACCAGAGAGAATCTTTTCTGTCTACCATCAGGATGGTTGATGCTGAACACTCTACGCCTTCTTGGCCTCACGTTCTCCACTGAGATGAAGTAGAGTGATTATATCGATTCAACTGCTACATCTGCTACAAGAAAGGTTGGTTCCCTGTGTCGCCCCAAAAAGATTTTCTCGACAGAATCCATCTTGCGCAGTTATAAATCTATAACTCGTCCGTGCATTGAATACCGTTGCCATATCTGGTTTGGTGCTCCTATTGTGCATCTCGGCATTCTTAAGAAAATCTAGAGATGGGTCTGCAATACAATCGGTCCTGATCTGGCATTTCATCTTCACTCACTTTTCCACTGACATGACATGGTTTCCCTCTACCAGTTCTACAAATATTTTCATGGCAGACACTCTGACGAGCACTTTTTCCTGGTGTCCCGATTACATGAATTTAAGCGTGCTACTAGATTGGCAATTAGGTCTCACCATTTTACTGCCGAACTAACCAGATGCAACCGATACTTCTACCTCAACAGTTTCGTTTCTCGTGTTCGGCACCTGTGGAACTCCTTTCAGATTTCTTGCTTCCATGATAACTACAGTCTTCAAAAATTTAAATGCAGCTTCAATCACCATTTTCTGTCTTCAATCCTTCTCTCTTTATCTGTCTCCCTCTCTCTCTCTCTCTCTCTCTCTCTCTCTCTCTATATATATATATATATATATATATATATATATATATATATATATATATATATTGTCATCCACAGACAGACTGTTTCGCTGTTTCACAGGTCATCAGGGTAGCTAGATATTCGGTTGCCTCAAGCCGAGATCGAACTGATTTGCTATCAACTAGTATATTGATATAAATTAATTTGATATCAGTCGGAGATTTTACCCCTAAGCCATTGGCGCACGGCATGGATGAAGGGAAATTTAGAGGTATTTATTTTTATGCAAAGACGCCAGTCATCGGAGAACTCGATTCGTCTTAATGAAGAGTCTTGCATCAGCAGTAGTAATAGTCATTGTTTACAAATTCACTTTTTCCCCGAAGAGCTCAACCGAAATATTTTTTCAGGTGGGGGCGGGGAGGAGGATTAATATAAATAAAATTTGTCACATAGCTGATTGATGTTATATTCAGCACTTCAACTCTAGAGTTTCATAGACGAAACATTTTGTACTCGTTCCACCCACTCAGAAACGCTAGAGACGAGGTTCTGAATATAAAATCAATCAGCTAAGTGACACATTTTATTTGTATTAATCCTATTAATGATCTATCTCTGATATCGAACACTTTATTACAAAAACTGCTTATCTTAAATGTCTTTTCTTTAAATTCCGATGACTGACAGCATTTCCGATTTAACAATATCTTTGTTATCTATATATATATATATATATATATATATATATATATATATATATATATATATATATATTGTGTAAAATTTGTCACAGTTATAGGGGTAGGGTACTCAATATCAAAGGTAGAGTGGTTTTTGATTAAGTTGGAAAGAAAGTTTTATTACACTTTTGACAAGATCACTTTCAGAGTGTTTTTTTATGTTCCTATGTTTTTTCTTTGTATATGAATTTATATGTTTACCTTTGTATATGACTTTATATGTTTTTTCTTTGTATATGACTTTATATTTATGTAGGAAAACTTTTTATCGATTTTACACTTTTAAAATCATTTTAGATCAGTTTCATATCTGACTCTGCATGCTGTATGAATTCAAAAGTGTTCTTTAGCAATGGAAGCCGTAAGAAATATCCCTTCTGTCAATGGAAATTAAGCTTTTAAGTGACGGAAAGCCAACAATGGTTTGACCAATTTCGATCGGGAGATTATCCTCTCGAACATTACCCTTGAAACATGGATAATAAAAACGCTGTAACAAATGCTCAAAAACAAAAAATAATAAAGTCATTGAGGGAATTTCCATATTGAAGATATCAAAGGAGCTTCGCAGAGATCATCGAACAAAAATGAGGGCTGTTGAAAATATAACTAAGTTGAGAATTACACGCAATGGTAAAAAGCCCAAAGCACATTATAACGAAACAACCACTTTTGACCAGCGCTCAGATTTTTGAACAAGCTAGAATTGAAGTTGCAATCTGTGATCTGTCAAGAAATCCCCTATATAAATTCCTCCGAGTTAAGCAAATATTTTAAAGCGACAAAATTAGACCAAGTCATGCATGACAATTTTCACAGACGAATAACACTCGATGGACAAAGGATGGAGTTTATCCGATGCAGATGTGCATGTGACTAAAAGAAGGCAGCAAAGAGGCGGCAGTGTGATGATAAGGGCTGGAATCATCGACCAAACCGTTACTGGATTGCTCAAAATCGATGAACGAGTTAAACTGATCACTACTAACTACTGCGATTTCATGGACAAAATTTTCTTTGAATAGTATAAGTGTCAGCCTTGCACTTTCAGAGTGAAATGTGTATTTATGCATAACAGTGCTCTTTCTAATGTATCTAAGCTTACCAGGGAATTTATTGAGCGTAAAAGGCTTACATGAGAGAAGATAATGAAATGGTAACCATTACGTCTCAGAATGCCATTAAAAATCTCATTGACAGCTTGAAACTATAAGTCGAGATATAAAATCAATGAAAAAGACTTAAAGCGAAACCACCAGATTTTTGAAGAGGCTGGAAACTAAGAAGTAAAGAAAAATTGTAGAATAGTTTGCAATTGGAGATCAGTCAAGTGATCTCCTATGCAAAGTAAAGTAAATATTTTAAATTGTAAAATTTAAGCCAAGAAACACATGTAAACTGATTTTTCTAACGTAATTTTCACGGAACAATCTCGGGTGATACTCGATGGGCTTGTTCCATCGACCAAAGGTTGGATTTTATCTGATTCAGATATGGCTGTGGCTAAAAGAATGCAACAAGGAGACGGCAGTGTGATCTTATGGGCTGGAATTCTCGACAAAACCATTATTGAACCATTCGAAATCAATGAACGAGTTAAACCGAACACTGTTAAGTACTGCGATTTCATGGACAAAATTTTCTTTGAATGGTACAAGTCTCAGCATTGCACTTTCAAATTGAAATGTGTATTTATGCACAACAGTGCTCTTTCTAATGTATCTAAGCTTACCAGCGAATTTATTGAGCGTAAAAGACTTATATGAGAGAAGATAATGAAATGGCCACCATCACGTCCAGGAATCCTATCGAAAATCTCATAGACAGCTTATGAAGATGAGATTATATGAAGGTGGCAAACAATATGACAGCAAAGCTGGCAGATGGGTAACAATTGAAACCACCATGCCGTAAATTGAACTTGATGAAGTAAAAAAAATTAACAAAGTCAATGGATAATAGATTGTTGGATCTTATTTAGAAGAAGGGTCCTTTTATTAAGAAGTCAACGCTTCAAAGTCTTATATATGTTTGTCATTTGTTCTGTTATAGGTGTTGATCAATTGTTGATAATTGTATTACCTTGTTATTGAAGTAAAAAGTAATTTTCTGGTTTTGTGCACAAATATAAATGCAATAACTTTAATAAAACATGTTGAAACTACCTAAAAACTTAACATTTTTAATGTCTAAATTAATTATTTAAAATTTTAAATAAATCGTTCAAAGAGTTATTGTGGCTTATGTGACTTACTTAATAACTTCAGACGAATTGTAAATTTGCTAACAAATGTTTCCTGCATAGAATCATCACCAGTGATGAAAGTTGGGTTCTCTATGAAAATGTTTTTTTATTACCTACTGAAAATAGAGAATCTATGCCGAAACCAACAGTAAACTCGAAAAACGTTATACCCTGAATTTAGTCGATTTTGAATAGTGTCATTTATGATAATGTGCTAATCCCAAACGAAAAACTTAATGCGAAAAGTATTATTGCCAACTGGAAGCATTGGACAAATATTTACAGAAAAAGTGCTCATCGTCGGTTAATCGTAAAATAGTATTGCACTTACATAATAAGGCAAAATCACATATTGTACGAGTCACTCAGAGAAAGATCATGGCACCAAATACGTAAATTATATCTCATCCTCCTTACGCTCCTGGTCTTGCTCCCTCTGACTATCATCTTTTCAGATTATTGCAATATATTTAGAGGGAAAACTGTTTATTGTCTTTATTAACTGTAAAGAAGTTAAAACTAACATTGAGTGTTTTGTGCTTCGAAACTTGATGAGAATTAAAAAAAAAACTGGCTACATAGATGGGATTATTTTTTCAATAATGACGGGAAATATTATCTTGATTAAATATACCATTTAAGACCAAAGAAACATTTATCATTTTCCATCTTCTAATGCGGCAGGACTTTCCAACCCAATATAAAAAGTCGGATATAGAAATGTATGATACTTACATCATGACTTAATACTAAAAAGATATTACCGCAATCTAATGTTTAATTTCATTCAGAAAACTTTAAAACCGAAAATATTATACAAAATATATAAAAATAAATAAAATAAATAATAATAAATAAAATATTCATATTTACAATAAAAAATAATTAATTAATTAGAATAAACAAACTCAAGTTGAGGATCATAGATAACCACAAACATGACCCTAGACAAAAAATTAGGGAAAATCTTTTACGTCGCACCACGTTTCATATAAGCCGTCAGATTGCCTATATATTTAAAGCCAGCACAAAAATTATTAACTCTTAGTCTGATTATCGTTTCAGATGGGATACTGAAACTGAAGATGATATACCTAAACTTTATACTTTACGCAAATAAATTACGTAAAAAATGAAAATAACACTGACATCTCCTTTTAGCAGATCTATTTACTAAAATCACACAAATATATCTCGAAACATTAAAGAGTAATAAATTCAATAAAATCACCATTGGCTTCGACCACGTTGTAAACCTAGTTTAATTTGGGGAATGCTGCCATAATCATTGCCTTGTTTATCTTTGGTGTTATGAGGAGTTTTTTTTTTGGTCTCTAGCTCAAAAGCGCCCCATACATAAAAATCGAGGTGTAGCAATCCGGGGAATTAAGTGCTAAATTTAAAGTGTGATGTATTCGCAGAAATTGTCTGACAGGCATGACTGGGTTCTTCTGCTTATGTGGCAGAGTGCAAAGTCCTGTTGCCGGACATAGGATCTTCCAGTAGCTAACTTTTTAGCTCAGGACAGCACTACCTCCTCGTGGTACTTTAAGTAAGCCTCCGTGTTGAGTGTGAGGCTCTCACCAACAAATTCGAGTGGTCTCTTCTCAGATCGATTACTGTTAGCTTTCCGAACTACCGTCCCTTTGTAATCACCATCAGACTCATCCAACTCTTTCCGAGTCCTCTGCACTGTACTCAGATTGACACCCAAGCACATATAGATGTTCGTATTGGAACTTCCGGCGAGAATACCAAGCAGTACAACATGCCGTGTTCCAGACTTCTGGCGGAGTGAATTGCGTCATGGTGCTCTTTCCCTCAAAGACAGTGCCCAACTGAGCCTACTATACTATGTAGTCGACAAAATCAAAAACAAACAGTGCGCATGCGCGAAATTAAAAATATAAAATGGAGACAATTTACCCATTACAGCTTGTAGATCTCGGAAAACGATATATAAATTTTATATATCATGAACAATTTTATGAAAATCTATAAGTAATTTTTTTTTTCCTGTGACGCGTTTCGTCCTTTAGGATTCCATCGGGCTAAAAAAGATGTTTACAATGATGTGATAAAACATGCGTATGGAGGAGACGGAACGATGAAATTTTAATTTCAGATTTTAAATTTCAACGCCCCACTCCATCATAAGCATGTGTAATCACATCAGCGTGAACATGAATTTAGCTCGATGAAGCCCTAAAGAACGAAATGTGTCACACGAAAATAAATTCTACTTTGATAGATAGATTAGAATAGATAGATAGATAGATAGATAGATAGATAGATAGGAACAGATCGAGATAGATACAAACATACTGCAATAGATAGATAGATAGATAGATAGATAGATAGATAGATAGATAGATAGATAGAAATAGGCTTATATAGATAAATATAAACATACAGTGCTGTTCGATAAAAGTGACTCACCTGATATTTTTACTAAAAATAATTTTTGTCTATTGTTTTTGGGGTTAAAATAATTTTTAATCTTACTAATATAAAGACCCCTTCCTGACTACCTAGGGAAAAAGTTCACCCTAAGGTATTCTATTGATAATTATAATTTTGGATATAAATGAGATTTAGGGAAAAACTCTGTGCAAAAAAAAGTGACTCACTTATTTCCTGCAACTAGTAATCAATAGAAACATAACCGAACAGCTTTAAATAAAGAATAATGGAGGTATAATTTATTTATAATAGGTAATATAGTTCGAAATATCGACACGTTTTGATAATAGATCGCTAGATTTTTTAGTCATAGACTCTAGAACATTTGATATTAAACCACTACATCTTTTGGTAATAGATTTCTACACCTTTTGATAATAGACTTCTACATATTTTTTAAAAGAGATCTCTACACCTGTTGAAAATAGACCTCTACATCTTTTGAAAATAAACCAACCTCAACGCCTTTTTAATAATATACATCTACACTTTTTAGTTTGTATCTCATCCTCTCTCATATTATCCATTTCCACTCTGGCCTCATTTTTGTTGGGGTTATGTCTCTCCATATATTTTATGTCTATATTTTATGTCTCTTCATATATTTGGTATGTCTAATTGTACTTTGTCTTATATTTAATTTTATCTTATCTCTTTCTGTATTTGAGAGTCATTTATTTCGCATGATGTCACTGCAGACATTCGCAAGCATATCTGGGTCAAGATAGGGTCTTATTTTAGTTCCTACCATATCTTTCCATATTTGGCATGTCTAGTCCGTGGTGTTCTTTTGTAGATTTTTGAGTGCAGTGAAAAAAGATGCCATGACTTTTATACTTATCGCGATTCCATTTGATTTGGTATTAAGTCACCAAGTCCAATGTTGGAGTTAATCTGGCTTTGGTAACCTGATGTCTCATTGTTGGTGGAAGACTTTGTTTCAGTCATAGATTTTCCTACCCAGACTGGTTCCTCTCTGGGGGACGCGGCCCCTCGATGACCCTGGTGACGACCGATACGTTATAAGTCTTTGTTTGTAAACATTGAAATTTGTATTTTTTTTTCGTTTTATCTTTAACCGCCAAGCAGTAATTTTGTTCAAGATTCCACCTCTAGGACGACCAAAACTAAAGAGCTCGCTCTGCCCACGAGACACGGCTATTCCGCCCCGATATTTCTAGGAATTTTATTTATGCCGTTATTATTATTATTAATAATAATAATAATAATATCATTATTACCTTATTTTCCTTTGATTTCTGATGTGTACTCTTTCTTTCCGGGTCCCGCCCAGGGACCTAAGGTTAGAAATGGCATCATAACATTTTCCACTGGGAAAAAATATTTTACATAGAAAAAGCCCTTCGTAAGCTGTGGACTGTACTCGTGAGAACAATTTTTTTTGTATTTTTTAAGGCATGGGCTTCCAGAAATCCCTTCAATTAGTCTACTGGAATCTTTTCCAACCAATCCGAGGCTCCAACTAAAACGGGGATTGTTGATGTTCCCATGTGCCACATTTTTGAGTTTTCGATTACAAGGTCCTTGTATTTTGATAGCTTTTTGAAGATCTTGAAAGATACATTGCAGTCTGCAGGGACTGCCTTATCAATAAGGAGGCACCTTTTTGTGTGCGATATCTAATAAAAATGTCTAAGCTTTGATTGTTCTGTCTATGTGAACCTGTTACAACTGGGATAATCCCAATTGTATAGGACCTGTTACAACTGGGATAATCCCAATTGTATAGGACCTGTTACAATTGGGATAATCCCAATTGTAACATGTCCTATCGCCGTAATCGGGTCTGGATGGTGTTAATATCACTTTCTTTCAGTTTCTTCTCATAGAAGTTACAGATTTTCCCTGTGCAGAGATTGGCCAACTCTGTCATGCTGGGTTTTATATTCAGTGGGTGCCCATTCCGTGCAGCCTAATACAAATGATCGGTTGTTTCTGTGTAATTATCACAGAACCTGCATTTTGGGCTAATACTATACTTTAGTATGTGTGCTTGATAATTTCTAGTTAACAAGCACTGATCCTGTGCAGCAAGGATAAAACCTTTCGTTTCAGCTTTTAACACTGCATTACGTAGCCACTGATGGGTACGGGGCTTGTCTACATCATTTTGTTTGGTACGGGCAGAGTATAATGTGTGGCATTCCTCGGTCTCAAGTGACCATCGATCTGCGCCCAAAAAGTTATGCCCCAGCGGCTGGTGGCGACGTAGCGTCTGTTATGACTGTACAGGCCCACATGGAGATGACAGTCTTGCGGGAATCGCCAGAACAAAGTTAAACAGAATATCGGACTCTCTTAGGGACTCCGGATTTGTCCTCAGTGTTTAATCCCGAAGATTTTTTCCATGATTGGGTATGGCCGCAAGGCAGCAGAGGTTTAAAATCAGAGTTTTCCTTCTCTTAGATGGACTACCCTCTCGGATTGACGAGTTCCATCTACAGCAATTATATATATATATATATAATATATATATATATATATATATATATATATATATATATATATATATATATATACGCATAAACATACACATATATATTTTACACTGGATGTCGGTGTAAACAGTTTGTTATCAAATGTACCATTTTAAGAATTATTATTATTATTATTATTACTATTATTATTACTTATTCATGATAATAATATAAATCAATAAATAAATAAGAAATAAATAAAAGTATAAAATTATCAAATATTTTTTTAATATTTAAAATACATGCTCTTCCATAAACAAATTACTTTCTATCTCACAAGACACATCAAAACAAAAAAAAATAAAATAAAATTCGAGACCAATTTTACTAATTTGAGGCTCTCTCTGGATCAGCATCGCCTCGCCTGTCTAATATCTGCTTCACAACCCAGCAGTGGCGTCTGGCTTAACCCAGTGCACTCCTCATCTACAGGTACCCTTCTGGAAGATGACTGCACTCGAGTCGAAGTCGCGATCCGTCTTACGCTAAAATTATGTACGCGTCACAGATGCAGCTGTGGAGCTTCCATTGGTGTGTTTGTTTTGCATCCTCTCTCCTGTCGTCGTAGTACAGGCCGCTTTCCAAGGCATGCAGCAATAAACGACATCATCAGAAGAGGTCTGAATGCAGCTAGGTTCCCTTCCCAAATTGAACCTGTAGTGATGGAAAGCGGCCGGATGGCATTACCATTTTCCCCTTTATAGAAGGGGAGAGTCATTGATTTAGAATGCGACCTGTGCCGATACAGTTTCGACCGGTAATTTGATCAGGTCCGCAGTTGAGCCGGCGTCTGTCGCACGGGAAGGGAAAATCAAAAAAATAATTAAATATTCTTCTCTTGCGGACAGATTTATTTTTACTCCAGTGGCAATGGAGACTTCTGGGGTTATTGGCCAACGCTCGATGGTGTTCCTTCGGACGGTTGGCGGGATTGCGTCTCGATTAAGGGACGAGCCTCTGAAAAGGATTGGCTCTTACAGGGTGTCTCAGTGGTGATGGTGCGTGGTAATGCCTTCTCCATCATTGCAGCTGTCAGAGATAACAAAAAATATTTTGTTTTTGTTTTTGCTTATAGCTACAAATAAATCCATTATATTCAGAACAAATGTGACGTCGTAGTACAATTGGATAAAATGGCGGGATCTTGAACATGTAGGAAAAGAAGAAAATTTGGAGAGAGAAAAAATGTTTTTGTTTAGTGACTAATGAAATTTCAAGCAAATTAGCTGCTTTTAAATAATACAAGATGATCAAGTCATTAATTCGAAGAGTTTGAACTGAATATTTTTTGAAGAGAAAACATTCGGTTTTGACCAATAAATCAAAAACTCTCTTTTAATATGACAATGTTCGATCACATGCTCCATCGACACGAATATTAACCCGCACACTGATTGCTCCTTCGGACTATCACACAATTCTAGTCCATTATATCATTTTTCTTCAAAGGAGGCTTCGTAACAAGTGGAAAAGATGAAATCAATAGAACAAGCTAGAGTATAACTTCATTTTTAACATATTTATTTTGTAAATTTAAAATAGATATTAATAAACACGATAGATAGATAGATAGATAGATAGATAGATAGATAGAATTAGAATTAGAGTGTTGTAGATAGGTAGGTAGATCAGCAGACAGATAGACAAAATATTTTTGTAAAATTAAAATAAATATTAATAAACAAGATAGATAGATAGATAGATAGATAGATAGAATTACTGTTGTAGGTAGGTAGGTAGGTAGACAGACAGACAGACAGCTAGACAGACAAAATATTTTGTACATTTAAAAGAAACGTTAATAAACTAGATAGATAGATAGATAGATAGATAGATAGATAGATAGATAGATAGATATGAATAGACTGAGATAGATATGAATAAACTGAGATAGATAGATAGATAGATAGATAGATAGATAGATAGATAGATAGATAGATATAGACTTAAGGAGAGAATTAGACTGGTAGATAGATAGATAGATAGATAGATAGATAGATAGATAGATAGATAGATAGGAAGGAAGGAAGGAAGGAAGGAAGGAAGGAAGGAAGGAAGGAAGGAAAAACAGTGAAAAACCGCTCCGTAAAATTCACTGAACCTCCGCGTGATAAATATCGGGAAAAGTAAAGTGTAATAAAACCGCTGAGAGACCCTGTCTTCGTACGGAACGGGTTCGCGATCAAAACTTATCTTGCTAACAACCCCGTCTCTCATCCAAAACAAAGCTAAAAAAAAAAATTACTTATCGGCAACACATAATAGATGAACGAAAAATCGACAGGATATTTTTGAGGCGTCCACACATAAAAATATACTTACAAAAGCTACAGAATATTTACGGTCCCCCTTTTTTTTATATTTGAACAGCTATAAAGATGAACGGCTTGGAGGTGCCGGTTTTAATGTACACGTAGGGAGTTGAGCGACGATATTGAATCTATCTTCATTCGGATCCTGGCTCAACTTGTCGGAAAGCAGATTCAACGGGGAGCAATAAAAACAAGCGATTTCTTCCGTTGCCCGGCTTCTGAGTTTTAATAATCAGGTTTCGTGTTATCGTATCAGAATTAGAACTGATGCAGCCTTCGTGGCTCAAGATTATGGATAATGATTGAGATTGAACTAAGTCTGTAACTTAATAAACTTTGATTGGCTTGGCACAAGACCAACGGTTAGGAGCAACTACTGAGGATCGAATTCAGTTATGTTCATTCCGACAAGCTCGTTAACCATTACACCACGCTAAGACGCGCAAATCTGTAATGGCATGCATAACAACCTATAGACATCAAATGATGTAATGCGTGTAAAACTGATTAGATTGATTTGTTTTTACGGATTATCAACCCACTGTAGGTTATTTAAAGCCAGAAAATATTTTTTAAATTGTGAGAATTATTTTTGAGATTTCATTTTAGTCTTACTAATTAACCCATAGCTGGTGGGAGAAAAGTTGTATTCATACCTTTACCAAAGGTATTAGCACATACGTAAATGTAATGGATTCGACTTGAATCCGAACTCGGCTCTCCGATTCCTCAACCCGAGCCGCTATATATATATATATATATGTGTGTGTGTGTGTGTGTGTGTGTGTGTGGAATTGGAACTCGGCTCTCCGATTAACAATTCCGTGCCATTATTCATTTCACTGCTCGTACGCCCCAGCGTACAGCACCTGGTATTCACAAGCGGTCATCCATCTAGGTACTGCTCAACATCGACGTTGCTTAACTTTGGTAATCGTACGGGAACCGTAAGAGGAGAAGGTAAGAATTGCAGTTTATGAGGACATGCAGGAAAGATAACGTCTAAATCTCGACTTGAAGATCGCGAAAGTATTATCTTGGGAGTCTGTTCTATAAAGTGGCGGTTTTATGGAAAGAAGCTGTCCGAATGGAACTACCTTCTTGTTAACGGAATACGAAGGGAATGGAGATGATTCGAATCGATGTACGTAACATGTCGAGTCTTAGCTGTGAAAGTCAGAACTGGTGGAACAAATGAATATAGTTCGTTTGAAGATCGTTTTTTGCCACCCCCAAGCAAGGCGATAATGCCACTAAGACGCAAGGGGTTACTGGGGTGAAAGAGAATGAGATTACTTCTTTAGTGAAGAGAAAAATAAATGGACAGAGTTCAAGAAAAGCAGAAGCTGACGATTGACGTTGAATTTATATTTATATTCTTGAAGATTGTAGTTGGCAGGGAAGCAAGAAACCGGAAGGGAGTTCAACAGGTGAAAAATTACAAAGAAGAAACTATTATAATATAACTTACGGTTGCATTTAACTAGTTCAACAGTAAAATGGTGAGACCTAGTTGTCAGTCTAGTAGCACACTTAAATCCATCCAGTCGAGACACTAAGTAAGAAAGTTCATTAGAACAATGAAAATATTTGTAGAAAAGACAGAGGGAAGTCACGTCACAGTAGTGAGAAATTGACTCAATTTGAGATGCCTGGTCAGGACCGATTACATTATAGACCCTTCTTTGAATTTCATCAAGAATTTATAATTGTACTAGATGAAGTCTGTCGTAAAACAATGTCCGACATGATACAATGAACCACTTTTCCTAGCAGTAGACCTAGAAATTGATTCAGGGTAATCACTCCACTTCATGTCAGTGAAAAAACGCCTGCTATGGAAATAGCTATAGAGAGACCTGGGACAGTAGAGTGGAAAAAATAATTCATCACGCACATGGCTGCGTTGATACTTCTGAACTCTAACAAGACTAGAAAGTGAAGACCGGGCAACTCCGTGTTTGGTCTGATATGGATCTTGCATGGAGCATAGCAAGAAAACTCAGATACTGACTGGGACGATACAATTTTATGATGGATCATATATATGAACGGGCGAGGAGCACAATGGATGTTCAGGGCAAAGATCCTCTTTGAGAGAACAAATATTCATCATGATAGGGGAAAATTCAAGGTCTGCTTGATAATGATGGGACGTCACTAGTTTGGTTTTGGGGTGTTGAGGATTACAAGTCAGTTTTCCTTCATTGAGCCGTTCGAGCTAGTTCGGAGTAGAGATCAGCTATCAGACTCTGGTCATATATATTTTTTGGGGGGGGGTCACGCATACACTGTTGATTGGTGGGTTGGTTTGTTCGTTCGTTTTTGACGGTTTATCAACCCTTTGCAGGTTATTTGAAGTCAGAATATATATTATGACTACAAGATTTTTTTTTTTTTTGAGATAATAATGGTTTACTGATACAAGTCTTACTAATTAACCCAAAGCTGGGAGGAGATAAGGTGGATTTATACCTTTTCCAGGGATATTTGCAAGTAAGTGAATATAACGAACCCCACTGGAACTGAAACTCGATTCTCCGATTAACAATACCGAGTCATTATCCATTTATCCCCGCCTGCACATTCAAACTTACAGATACTGGTATTCCCAAGCGTTCACCTATCTAGGTACTGATCAGGCTCGACATTACTTAAATTCGGTAATCGCATGAAAAAAAAAACTGGTGTTTCAACGTGATATGGCCGTAAACCGTGTACGCTGTTGTATCATCTGCATGGATATTTACTAGAGATCTGTGTATTTTCTTAAACAGATTGTTAATCTTTGACGTTCGAATCTTCTCAGTGTTCTAAATGAGTTTGATGCCGAAATTTTACCTCTAAACATTGACAGCTAATCAAAAAATAACGTTTACACTTGAGAAGTGCTGAAAAGGGGACCTTTCCTTAATATGGTATTAAGAAACAACAAAAATGAGGATACTAGATTGATTAATTAAATCTTCCCATGATACCAAAAAGAAAACATTTGGAAAGAAGTTCCCATAAATGCAAGAAAGTGTTATGACTTAAGGACGTCGTACAGTGGAGTAATGGATAGCGGCTTGGATTGAGGAATCAATTACATTTACTTACTAATACCCTTGGGAAAGGCATGAATCCTCTTCTTGGGTAAAAAGCAGGGCAGACTGGGTTCTATAGCCTTGGATGGCAATTGGTCTACAACATAAAGAAATAGCAACCTACTGCTGGAAAAAATATGCCTAGTCAGTCATGTATCGAAAGATACATGATCGCCTAACGCATGACACATAATTTAAGTCTAATTTCATGAAGAAAAAACTGTTTTAATAAAAGAAATCTATAGATTTCAACCGACAGTAATATAAACTCTTTGGTTATTAAAAGCCGAATATTTGATGTATGGAAATGGTTACATTGACCATCAGCATATATTTCAGAACTTGAGTTTTCATTGTTTGCTAAGAAGGTGATGTAGAACTCACCTGTGTAAAGATAAAAATCATCTAAATAATTGGGTAGAGATAATGGTTTTGTCCGTGGATCTAGCGTTGCTGAAATGGAATTATACGGTTTATCCAGTTACGATAATTTTTTCTAGTACCTAAACTACATGAATTTAAGCATGCTACTAGATTGGCAATTAGGTCTCACTGTTTTACTGTTGAATTGTGCAACAGCCACTTCTACTCTAACAGTTTCTGTGGAATTCTCATCCGATTTCTTACTTCCCTGATAACTAAAATCTTAAATCTAAATGCAACTTCAATCGACATCTTCTTTCTTCTTTTTTTTTTTTTTGCCATTTCCTCAAACCCACCCATTTTCAATCTTCTCATTCTCTTTCACTTTCACTCCTTGTAACCCGCTGCCTCTTAGTGTCATTGTCACCTTGATTGGGGTGAAACGATTAAAAAATCTGTTGCTGATGAATTCTGATGAATTCTGACGTTAAGTATTTTCCAACCAAGCCGATAATTTAGTTTAGTTTCTTTTTTTCTTATCCCTGGCACTGACATAAAATTAAGAATGGATTCTTTAATAGTGTAATAATTTATTTTATAATCAGATGCAAATATGCATATTAAGTCTTTAACAATGGCATAAATTAATGTCAGAAGCAGTTGAACTAAAGAACAACGATTACTTTAATTCCCGTCATCAGCAGTTAATGTCTTCATATATATTTGCCGCCATTAATTATTATGGGTTTGATGCAAAATAGACATGCATTGTTATGGAGTTGATAATTACAGGGATAATATCGCTACAATCGGTGTAGAATCATGAAAATATTATTAACAATGGAGCATATCAGTAGCAGTAACAGTGGCGTGCAGTTAAGAGATTGGCGATATAAATAGTCTTTCTTTTCTAATGGATTTTTATTTATGAATCCCTCAGATTTCTATCGCTTTAAACGTTATTTTTAGTGGATACTCATATTTAAGCAGACGCGCCATTTATCTATTAAACAGTATATTCGAGAAATCTTATTAAAGAAAACAGCGAGCGCATATTTTCTTTAATATCTCGAATATTCAGGCCGGTAGACGAAAAAAAATATATTGTTTAATAAATAAATGACGCGTCTACATAGATATGAGTATACAATTAAAAATAATGTTTAAAGTGATCAAAATTATCTTTCTTGTGTTAATTGGCAAAAATGGCACTGGATTGTTAGAGTCGGATTCAATCTGTGAAAACGAGGCTCATTGATTATGTTGGTGGGCCCTGGTGACGGTTGCAGCATTGATGGAAGAAAAGGTATTTCCCAGCTGTCATGTAAGTGAAGTTTTAGGTGCTGCGTGTTGATTGGTGGTTATAGTCGGGGGAAGAAGCCGTTGAAAAGCAATGACGGATCGATGACGAATTGATGATGGGATGGTGGTAGTTGGTAACGCTAGCAATGTCATCAATGTCGAACTTACAGATACTATTGTCACTGATAACTAAAAAGCAGATAAAATCTCTCTACTTCAGCGGATTCCTGTTGCATATTCATCGCCAGAGTTATTGTTTATCTGACAACACCAGCACTCCACTATTATTATTATTACTATTATTATTATTATTGTCCCTCACTTAGTTGCTTAGCATGTACGTATGTTACGCTCTGCCAGTACTTTCATGAATAATGGACTATTCCATTTTTATCACGTGGAAAGATGGAAAAGACACTACTTAATCTCAAAGAAAGAAAGAAAGAAAGAAAGGAAAAACGTCCTGCCAATACCTCATAAATAATGAACTGTTCTGTTTTAATCGGGAGGAAAGACATAGAAGACATAACAGAGACGCTGTTTGATTTCGGTTCGGAAAAGAAAGAAAGAAAGAAAGAAAGAAAGAAAGAAAGAATGAATGAAACAGAAAGAAAGAAAGAAAGAAAGAAAGAAAAACAAAAAGAAAAACAAAAAGAAAGAAAGAATGAAACAGAAAGAAAGAAAGAAAGAAAGAAAGAAAGAAAGAAAGAAAGAAAGAAAGAAAGAAAGAAAGAAAGAAAAACAAAAAGAAAAACAAAAAGAAAAACAAAAAGAAAGAAAGAATGAAACAGAAAGAAAGAAAGAAAGAACGCCGTGCCAATACCTCAAAAATACATCAGATTGTTCTGTTTTAATCACGAAGAAGGACAGAAAAGACATATCAGAGACGTTGTTTGATTTCGGTTCGAAAACGCAAGCAAGAAAGAAAGAAAGAAAAGAAAAGAAAAAAGAAAGAAAGAAGGAAACCAAGATAGAAAGAACGCCTTGCCATTACATCATAAATACCTCAGACTCTTCTGTTTTGATTGCGAGGAAAGACATAGAAGACATATCAGAGATGCTATTTGATTTCATTTCGAAAATCAAGCAAGCAAGAAAACAAAAGTAAAACAGGAAAGCAGTGAAATTTTCACGAGTACTTCTAGTTATTATTATTCTGTTTGTTCTTTTGTTACTTAGTATGTTACGCCCTGCCAATATCACATAAATAATGGAATATTCCATTAATCACGAGAAAAACATATCAGAAATGCTGTTTGACTTTAATTAGAAAAAGAAAAAAAGGAAAAAAGAAAAGATTCTAAAAGAGGTGATAACACTCTTATGAATTTAACATTTGCTTTAGTGAAATAAAAAAACGTACCAATTTTTAAATCATTTCATTACTTTTTTTTAAAAATAAAGACCTGCATTCATACGTATAATTGTTATTGTAATATTTTGTTAAAGTTGTTAAGCTCAAATATTTGACAAGGCAATAGGGACATTTCCATGGGTATTTTCTAGTCGTGGGACTCGCAACGAGCTTATACAATCAAATACCGAAACTAAAATGGCCACAGGTACTGGTAGTTATCATTATTTTTTTCCTTTGGTTTCTATTGTATATACATTTCTTTTCGGGGCCCCTAACCAGAAACCTAAGGTCAAAAATGGCTTCATGGCAACTTTTACTTATCATTTTTGTAAAAGAAAAATTCCTAAGATCACGTATATTTTACATTTTACATAGATAAAGCTCTTCGGAATGTGTCAGCTGTACTTGTGAGTACCATGTTTTGTGTTTCTTTAAGGGATGAACTGCTGTGAATCCCTTCAATAAGTCAATCAGAACTTTTTTCCAATCAATCCGTGGGCTCCCACAACAAATGAAATTATTAATGTGCCATAGTTTTGATATTTCGATTTTAAGGTCCTTGCATTTTGATTGTCTTTTTTAAGATCTTCAAAGATACATTACAATCTGCAGAGGCAGTGGAATGTCAATAAGAAAACACATTCTGTTTTTGTTGTCTTTAATCAGGTTGTTCAGGCGATTAGCTTGGATTGTTCTGTCTGTGTGCATTGTAAAATCCCATGAAATTGTTACAGCTCCTATCTCCGTAACCGGATCTCGGTGATGTTCATACCAGTTTCATTCAGTTATTATTATTATTATTATTATTAATGATATCATCTTGCTAGAGAGTAATTTTAAGTGTCTAATTACCAAATCCCTTCCAGGATCTATGAGCGAAAAGGGTACTGTAGAAGAGTTATATATGCACATTTGGAATGTTTCATTTAGATTGAGAGGGTTTCGCTTATGTACAGTCCCGCACGGATTGAGGAATCGGAGAGCCAAGTTCAAATTCCAGTCAAATCCATTAAATTCCCTTACACGCTAATACCCTTGGGAAAGGTAAGAATACTCTTTTTCTCAAGTTATGGGTAAATAGCAGGACAGACCGGTTTCTAGAGCTTTGGATGGCAACTGGTCTACCACAAAAAGAAATGGCAACTACTGCGGATAAAAAATCTGCTTCGTCAGTCATGTATCGAAAGATACATGATCGCCTAAGTGTGTATCACGCATGGCACATAAGTAACTGACAGTTCTGCACAAAATAATCTTTTGTAGCTCTGGAATGCTGATATGTCCAGGAATTTTACTCACATGATTTTCGGTAAACTTCTATATTATACCAAATGCAATGACCCTATTGCACCACGGGTAATCGTAGTTTTAAGTTATTATTATTATTATTATTATTATTATTGTAGATGTTGTTGTTGTTGTTGTCAACATCAATATCCTTTAAAAACGTCCCTAACTGCAACCATCATTATCTTCATTTTTGTCGTCATTATTATTATTATTATTATTATTATTATGATTATTATCACCCACATCAAATTCTGGTTGTTACCAACCCTGTCATCGAAGTAAATCAATATCAAAGATTGTTTGCTCCATCAGACCTTCTTCAAAATTGGCTTTTAGGATTTTTCTTCGCCTTATTGATTCCAAGATAGAAACGGACGGACCGAGAGACAGGCCAACGAATAGACAGACTGAGGAGTAGAGAAAAGGGGATTTTTTCCATTTGGAATTTGAGCAACATCAGGTAGCAAAGGAGCTTGGAAGAGGCTGGGTGATCGCGTTTGTCTGACAAGCAACAGGCTGAATATACAGAAAGAAAGATATGGGGAGGAAAGGCGGAGGCATAAGAGTGTGCGCGCATGTGCGCACGCATGCGTAAAATAGAAACACTTGAATGGTCGGTTGTTCAACATATCCAAATACTCATGTGCAAAACGATTGCACGCCTGCCGATACACACCCAACAAGATGCATAAACACGGGTATTTATTGACGCATAAATAGGCGTTCTGTTTAAAGGAGAATACGTTGCTGCACGCCCAAATATTATCTCAAAATCCTTTATAAACGGCTCATTGAAGCTTAATCTGACACTATTTCTCTCGTGCGTGCGTATGTGTGTGCGCGTAACAAATGACTATATGCTTATCTGTGGAAGTGTATACGTATTTTATGACCTTTTTAAGGAGAGGTGAAAGAAAGAGAAAAAGAGAACTAGCTATAAAACGAATTACAAAGGGTAATAGAGAGTAAGAGGAGAGTTATGAGTGAGATAGAGGAAGAGAATGAGAAAATGACACAGAGCGGGCAACATGTGTAAAACAGAGAGGGGTGAAAAGAGAGAGAATATAGAAGAGTGAAAAGTAGTATGATGGCGTGATAGAAAGTGACACGGCGAAAGATGAACTCTGAGAAAGAGAGAGAGCTTGATAGAAAGAAAGTGACGAAGGAAGGAGAAAAAGAGTGATAAAGAGGGAAGGTGAATGGAAGGCGTTGGAGCGAGTAGATGAAAGAGAGAAGAGAGAGAGAGAGAGAAAAATAGTAAAAGTGGGAGAAAGGTTGACACAAGAAAGTTCATCCCTTTCGTTTTCGCTTGCTCTTTAAAGTTGTCATCTTAAGTACACAACTCACTTTCTTTCGATCTCAAATGTAATAAGGCGCGCTGTCAAGCAAGCATAGAAGCAAACAAACTCCTGCACATCTACAACTATACAAAGAGATACACAAGCTTATGCTAACATAGTGAAACGTATGTAAAATGAATATGCATGCAAGCTATCATCAAACATAATTTCCATTTTTTAATTTCTTTTCTTAATTATTTCACTCAAGCAAGGCAATAAAACCACTAAGATACGAGGGTAGGTCCTGAACAGGAAAGAATATGAGAAAAAGAAAGACATTATTAAGGAGAGAGAGAGAGAGCAATAAAAGAATGAGAATTAAGAAGACAAAAGATGACGATTAATTTTTGCATTTAAATCTTAGAAGATCAAAGTTGCCTGGAAAGAAAGAAGCAAGAAGTCTGAGAGAAGAACTTGTTGACTTAGAATTAAAGGTACATCTAACCATTTCATCTTTCAAAATCATGAGACCTTGCCACCAATCTAGGACTGCGCTTAATTTATAAAGTCTAGGTACCAATGTGGAAAGCTCATCAGAACAATTACCATGAAAATATTTATAGAAAAGCTAAAGGAAGCTACGGTCCGGTGGTGGGAATGTAACTGAAGCCAATGTATTAGGTTAGGACCAATGATAGTGCAGAATCTTCTTTGTATTTTATCAAGAATTTCTAAATATATAGCCGAAGTACAAGACCAGATGTGACGACAATATTTAACGTGATCATGATGAGACCAAACTTCCAATCTAGTACTGCACTTAAATTCGTAAAGTCGAATTTCTCCTTAAGTTGGAAATATGAAGCAAATATATATCTATCACTTCTTTCTACTTTCATTTTATATTTTTATTTAGTTATTCATTTATTTATTTTTCTTTACACTTTTCCATTTGTTCCCTTTATACTTACATCCTTGTCTAAATTAATTGAAACAACCGCTTTAGTTTCCTTTTTTTTTTTTTCATAATATGGACAGTTTTATGTCATTTGCAGTGGTGCGCAGTAATCTATTTTTGGGATGTATGATGAAATTTGTTTGGCCTTGAAAAATATTGCGTCATTCGTGATTGCATCAGATTTTTATCATGCCCAGACATTATTGTTTCGACTATCGATTAGTTGTCCTACGACCATTGTCTGTGATGGACGTTACTCCAATGAAGCGTACTGGAATTTGTAACGCTGCACGAACACACTGACAAGTCCTACCAGTGAACAAATCAAAGGACTAGACCAACACGGAAACTCTCCTCATTTAAATTCAATTCAGAATTTGTAGTCAATCTGCAAAGAACGACTTCGTAGAATGGACATAGGAAGTGCTAACATGTGCACTGGGTCATGTTACATTGGAAAAATACGAAAAAATAGTAAATAAGGGAATTATTCATTTTGTTTCACTTAATTTGCACAAAGGTGTAGGTGTCAAATACAGAAATTTAGAGGATTCAGAATTTTTCATAATATGCTTTAAACTGGGGTGGGGGTCTTTACTAAAGGGGGTCGGAAAAGTGCTAAATTAACAAACAAGTTGGTTTAACAAGGTCGATCAAGTGGGGCGAAAATTTACTCCAGAAAATAACTTAGTTCCTTTGGTGAGGCACATACGTTTACTTGCTGCCAATACACAGACACTAGCCTTTACATTTAGGGGAAGACAGAATACATTTTTATTAAATTGATGCAAAATTACAGCCGTTCATATTCCATCCTCGCTTTCTTCTGTATTCTTACTTCCAGTTTCTCTTTCTGTCTCTCTCTTTCTCCCTAAACATTCATCTATACCCACTCACTTCAATTATATATATATATATATATATATATATATATATATATATATATAGTGAACATAGAAGTCAACACTTAGAGGCGACAGTCTGTTTCACGCTATATGCAAACATCAGGCCACTTTATATATATATATATATATATATATATATATATATATATAATATATATATATAAAAGTCAGCTCCTTGATAGAATCCAGAGAAGAATCAGCAGTATTATTGGCCCTGATCTAGCGTCAGCCGATTTCGAAAACGAGTCTGTTGTTAACTGGGGCAAAAGTTGGCTTCTTAATTTTAATGCATCCAAAATGAAACTTCTCTCCATTAAACATCAGAGAGGCATTTCTCTGGTTTCCATCAGTATGGCTGATGCTAACCTCCAGGAAAGTGACTCGTTGCACCTTCTCAGGCTAACGTTCTGTTAGTGGACCCTTGATTTATCGTCGCATAGCAATCTTTTATGTCAACATAACAAAATATTATCTTCGATGGTGAATAGCTTTCTTAAAATGTCCGTATGAAGATGGCGCATGTGAGCCGAAAGCTTAGATCAAGGAATAACTTAATAAAAAATATACAAATTTTGAAAAATTTCTGTCTTTATTTTTACCCGAAATTAAAGCAAGCATACGAACATTAGTCATGATCAGACATAATAGACATTCATTGTCTGTTATACTTAATAGCATATATTTATATATATATATATATATATATATATATATATATATATATATATATATATATATATATATATATATATATATATATATATATATATATATATATATATATGTATGTATCAAAGACTTGTATTCCATTATATACCTATGTGTTCACAGGTTTGTGGAGAAATGCGTTCAAGTACTTATGCTTGAGTGTTTCTTAGTCATTGAAAAACAGAAATGAATGAGCTCGAATAACAGTTAGGAAAATCGAAGACATTAACAGTTCTAAACCGGGGAAGTTAAAGTAGATGGAGGCAGGGTTTTTCTTTTTTTTTATCCGCTCAAGATGTTTCTATATGACAATCATGTTATCTTAGGCTCTTTGGATCAATTTTCACTGGCGTTTGCCTAGACACCGCTCTTGTAATGCTTTCTCTCAAAATCCATTTGGCGTCACTAGGAACGCCTCTTATCTCCCATCCATGCTTGATTCACCTATCATACTTGATAGGAAATATATTTTAAATTCGATAACAGAAAAGAAAACCGGAATTATTTTTTGTTTTTGTTTATTTACTTCCCGACATTTCTCGTATTTATCTTATTACTTTGCTTCGTTCATGATTTTGTTCTGATCGTTTTACTTCGCAATAGTTTTGACTTCATCACTTATTTTTTTTTCGTTCTTTTCATTGATATTTATTCATTCATATGTTTGCATGAATTATCTCCCTTTTGTATTTCTTTCTATCTTTTATACATTTTTAAAATGTTTCCTTACGTTATCACGTCTCTTTTCCTATGTCGGTTAGTTCTAATTCTTTTACTATGGTTTCTCTCTTTTCTTTTTCTCTTTCTCTTTCTCACATATCCATTCTCCTTTTCCTTTTTTCCATTCTTTTCCTTTCATCCATCGCTTTCTTTGTTTCACGTCAATTTCTTCAATAATTTTTCACTTCTCTTTACATCTGTTAAATTCATAGTTTTTGTTTTTCATCTTTCTTTTTTCTTTCTGATTTTCTATCTTTTTCTGTCATTTTTCTCTTCTTTCTTTTCTTTTTTGTCTCTTTCTATTCTTTCTTTTCTTTTCTTCCAATGGTTTCCTTCCTTTTCTTGCTTTTTTCTTTTATTTCACTTTATTTTCATTCTTTCTTATTTTCTTTGCTTTTTACTTTGCTTTCTTTCTTAGTTTCTTTTCTTTTTTTCTTTTCCTTTCTATTCTTTTTGTTCTTTTATTTCTTTCATTCCAGTTTTCCTTCCCCTTTTCTTCTCTGTCTCTTTCTTTTCTTCTTTCTATTCTTTATTTTCTTTCTTTTCTTGCTTTTGCATTCACTTTCATTCTTTCTTTCTTATTTCATTTCTTTTCGTTTTTTTCTTTCTTTGCACCTTTTCTTTCTTTTCTTTTCGTTCTTCTATTTCTTTCATTCCTACCTTTTCTTTCTTTATTTATTTATTTATTTATTTATTTATTTTTTTATTTGATGTTTTATTCTTTTCCCTTCATCTCTTATGATCTTTATGTATATCTCCTTCTTTCCAGTAATTTCTCCCCTTTCTGTCTGTCTGTCTGTCTGTCTGTCTGTCTCTCTCTCTCTCTCTCTCTCTCTCTCTCTCTCTCTCTCTCTATCCTTTACATCACTGTCTCTATCGCATATTTTTGGGGATTTTATCTCAGTTTTCCTGCAACGCAACCCTTGACACAGAATCCAATATTTTGCCTTTGAGAAGCAAGTCTTTCTTTGATTAAAGTTTTCAGCTTTGTTTTCTCATAATAAAAAAAATTCTAACGCAAAATGATTGTTCCTAACGACTTGTGTTTATAGAAAACT